TGGCTGCAATATAACAAAGAGTGAAAAATTGAAGGGGGTCTGAATACTTTCCGTACCCACTGTATATATATACAGAGAGCAAAACAAAACATCGGTCTCGAATTAGAAGTACAAAATGAGGATTTGTAAAGAAAAACAATCGACAATTTCGATATATAAGCCAAGAGGAGACTGGTTTTCCTTTGCAAAAGTAAGGAAAATTTGCTTCCTTTGCTCCTGTAAACAAACGTTGGTTCTTGCGAGACTAGCATATTCTCACTGGTGCATGCGCTACACATACGTCCTACGTCATACGCCCAGAACAGCTTCTGCATACGACAGTTAACGCAAGATAGTGAAAATGGTTTATAACGTTTTAAATATGGATATTTTTCTTACAAAAAAATGCATCGATTCGCTACAGGAGACCTTTATTCACCCCCCGGAGCGATGTGAGACATGTTTTATTATGCTTTTTTTTGGACTTCTTTTGGACTGCTAAACGAAAACACCCACCCACTGCCATTATAAAGCTTGGAAGAGCCAGGACATTTTTTAATATTACTCTGATTGGATTCGTCTGAAAGAAGAAAGTCATATACACTTAGGATGCCTTGAGGGTGAGTAAGTCATGGGCTAATTTTCATTTTTGGGTGAACTAACCCTGAAGGTTGAACCACTGATGTTACATGGACTATTTTAACGATGTCCTTACTACCTTGGGCCTTGAACGTTGTAGTTGTGTTGCTGTCTATGCAGGGCCAGAGAGCTCTCGGATTTCATCAAAAATATCTTAATTTGTGTTCCAAAGTTGAACGAAGGTCTTACGGGTTAGGATTTGGAACGACACGAGGGTGAGTAATTAATGACAGAATTTTTATTTCTGGGTAAATGATCCCTTTAAGCATTTATTCTATCCCGCTATTTACAGTCAGTGAGCAAATAACACATGGAAGTTCCTTGACAATGAGGCATAATGTTGAGTTCCAGAACCTTAACCCTCTCAGTTCCTCTGTGGTGAAATAAGCTGCCAACCTTCATTCAATTTGAGACCATCATAACTTATTTTTTATTTATTTATTTTACTTTTGCTCTAGTAGTTTACTAAAGTAACTTATACTCAAAACTTGGCATTGGCCAGGGGATGCACCCCACACTTTTGGAGAATAAAGACAAATAAAAGTAGTTGATATTGATTTTCTTTTTGCTTCCTATGTCCAGTACTCTCCTCCTCTCTGGACCTGCTGGATCTGAGTGAGCCTGGTGAGAGAAGACACAGCAAAGACAGGAAGAGCCCTCTTTCTACTAAGGGCACACCATACAGGAAGAAGCCTGATGAAACAGAGCTGATCCAAGTGGATGTTGAACAGAGTATACCCTGTTCCCGCACACCTGAAAAGATTTCATTGGACTCAGGTATTAAGTGTCAGACAGCTAAAGTGAAAGGCTGTTATGCTGAGAAGCACTCTTGCAAATCAGCCAAGGGAAATCAGATGGTTACACAAATGAAACTGTGTTTTTCATTACATGAACTGAACAAGTTCTGTAACGGAAAGTACTTTTTCAGTAAAAAGAACATTACAGGTTTGCATATCGTTATATAGTTGCCCTCTTGAATATGTGCATACTGCAAATTCTTCAAACTGTGGTGTTGCTTGTGTTTTACTTTGGTTGCAGTATGATAATATATCTCTGTCAAACAGCATGGCCTCATTTTGTTTACAGTAGCAATTCCATCTTCTTTGGAGAAATGGGAAGAACTCAACCCACACCGGGAGCGAAATGGGAGCAGAAAGTGGAAGCTTGAGAGAAGACGTTCATCAAAAAATTCTGGTGAATTTGTGTGGTAAGTTGCTGCTCTAAAAATTAATATGAAAACACACACTTTCTGGATATCTAAAAGATATGAATACCTTTTTTCACATCAATTTCTTATGATATAACCCCAGGTCTATGGACTGCAAGACTCAGCTAGACACTGCCCCCAGGAACTCCCTGGAGGTCAATAATAAAGTAGAGGCGGAAGCCGTGCCAGTGACTCAAGTAAGTGCAACACTGAGCAACACTTATCACTCTGTTTATGAGTCATGATCATCTGTGCACATGTGTCAGTGACTTTCACATATTATTTCCCACGTGTCCCACTCGTTGTAGTTTTATCATATTATTGTAAGTCCATACACTTGAACCTGTGATTGGTTTGTTTGTTTTTTAGCCACTCATTGTGGAACATTCTGTGCTAACATCTAGAATTCTTTATTTCCAGCTCAAAAGGCAATATGTTAGTGGAAGACATGTAAGCCTCTCTGTGCACTCTTTGTATGAATCGCTGAATGGTCTATGCATTTGCACCATGGCAACAGCATCACCACCAATTTCAATACAAAAAAGACCAAACCATTTTGGCAATACTTCATGGCAAGTAATGAACGGAAGTGACGTCCTCACAGCAGGTCACAGTTTGCAAGGAATTTCACGTTTCTTGTGGTGCTACAGGGTACAAATGTTACACGCTTCTCCCCTCAGTGAAGCATGCAGGTCTGTTGTATTGCTATCTATCATGATTAGATAATTATCAAATTAATTATTGACCAGCCACTGGTCAATATACCACCGGCTATTGGAAAAGCATAAATGAAATTACACCAGATATATGGTGTCCAGCAGTGGGTGCCTCCGATTTGCTCATCACATTTATAGTCAAGTTGTAAAATGTCATGTGGTGTGACTCCCCAAAAATGTATCAATACACTACTGTTCAAACGTTTGGTGGCAGTAATATTTTTTTTAATGTTTTGTCTCATATGCTCACCCAGGCTACATTTATTTGATCAAAAATACAGTAAAACAGTAATATTGTTAAATATTATTACAATTTAAAATAACTACTTTCTATTTTAATATATTTAAAAATGGAAATTATTACTGTGATGGCACAGCAGCCATTACTTCAGTCTCCATCCGTGCTGAATTAAAGCATTAATCTTAAAAAAAAAAATTTTTTAAATCTTACTGACCCCAAACTTTTGAATGGTAGAGTTATTAATGAATAATTTATAATATTTGTTAAAAAATACTTTTCACATTTAAATTTTATTTTAAAACTTCAAAACTTTTATTTTAAAAAGAATTATGATTAATGTTTCTTTACACTATTATGTGTCATTGACCCTTATATACCTAAAACTTACATATGGAGTACAGATTCATTTGTCTTACATTTGTTAAGACTAGTCATGATGGAGCAATCAGTATATGTGAACTGCATGGTTCTAAAAACATCGAGCTCAAATTGTCTTCCAACCATGAGTGGCAGTGGAAATGGAATGTGTAATGTTAAAGGTAATTGTTGCACTGACACGAGGTCTGACAGGGCACATTAAATGTAATTATACAGAGCTGCACCAGCAGAATGAAGCAAGACCAATTGTCCTTTTTGAGGCCCCCATTATAGCCTCCTGTATGAAATCCGTTTAACTTGGTAACCTTGGTAATTGATTAATATCCAATGAGGCAGGTAGCAAATACTTCATCCTATTCCTTTGATTCAGTCTGCCTGGAAGGCTTTGTTATGCTGAGAATTGAATTGGGGAAATGGAAGTTTTCCATTGATAGCTCAGCACTTGACATTTAAAATGACCTAAGAACAAGACACAAAGCTACATACAGAGGGTGAATTTTAAAGGGTAACTATTATTCATTAAAATGAAAAGCAACTTTAAAGTTTAAGGAGCACCAAAAACATAACATTATTATCACTGAAAATGCAACAACTAGGGCTGTCAATTTTATATGTGCATTTAGTGTGATCTTTTTTTTTAAATGCAATTAAAAAGTAGCACAATTAATCATGCCCCCTGGCCAGTACATTAATTTTGTAATAAGGAATTTTTCTACCATTGAACCACTTTAAAGACAGCTAGATGGAAGATATACTGAAATGTTAAATGCAATTAATTAATTGGCATATCATTTCATTAGTTTGATTAACCATTTTAATTGATTGACAGCCCTAGCAATAACCTAGTTGAAGGAGTAGTTCATCCAAAAATGAAAACTTGCTCAGAATTTACTCACCCTTAGGCCATCCAGGATATAGACTTTTGTTTCTTCACCAAAACAGATTTGGAGAAATTTAGCATTACATCACTTGCTCACCAATGGATCCTCTGCAGCAAATGGGTGCTGTCAGAATGAGAGTTCAAAACATCACAGCAATCCACAAGTAATTCACATGACCAACCTATTTGTTTACTGTTTTGGACTGCTTTTCGCCTGTGTGCATATTTCTCTCCTAATTCAGACAAGACAACTTTTTTACTGAATAAAGCAAGAACGTGGATAGAGGTATTTTAGCTGGACACAGCGGTTTGAAGCTAAAAACGTCCTAATGATAAAGCGTTTCACTTTAAAAGACGTTAATTGATGAACTTGAGTCGTGTGGATTACTTGTGGATTATAGTGATGCTTTGATTAGCAGTTTGAACTCTCATTCTGACGGCACCCATTCACTGCAGAGGATCCATTGGCGAGCAAGAGAGTAATGCGACCTCTCATTCTGACGGCCCCCATTCACTGCAGAGGATCCATTGGCGAGCAAGAGAGTAATGCTAACTTTCTCCAAATCTGTTTCGACCAGGAAACAAACTCATCTACATCTTGGATGGCTGGATGGTGAGTACATTTTCAGCAAATTTTTATTTTTGGATGATCTATTCCTTTAACAAAAATAGTGTGGTAGTTTATAGTGTCTTAAGCCATCAGCAAATGTAAACAAAGGGCTCATATTGTTTGTAATGCCCATATGTCACCCTCTAAATTTGAAACCCATCCAGATGAAGCCTTTATGACTCTGAGAAAATAAAACCCTTGAGATCTTACTGTTGTGTTTTATTTTGCAGTAAGCTTGTTTTCTGTTGCTGTGTGGTTTACACACACAGCAGTGTAGTCAAAATGATTGGCTTTGCCGCATGTGAAGCATGTCTTCAGGTGTACAGTGTAGAAACTGGTGCATATTTGACGATTCATGCTGAGCAAAGGTCTCCTGCCATGCTATTTTCAGATTTGCATACTGAGAAAAAATGTGTGAGGGCAGCGCGCTGTGCATGACAAGCCAGTCCTGAGCCATTTTGAGTGTGAGAACATTAGGTGTGGACAGCAGGACCTCAAAAGGGAGTGAAAGTGAGAAAGAAAGAGAGGGAAGGAAAGAAAACAAGAAGACCCTGTGCTGCTAATGCTGGCATTTCTCCTTGCCTCTGGCATCAGGGCCTTTTCTCCTGTCAGAGTGACTGAGAGATGGCTGAGCATGTTCTCTCTGACTCCTGCTCTGTGTGCGTGTGTCTGACAGGGCCGTTTGAGCAAAGACCAAAGGTGGGGTAGCACACTCCTGTCCAGAAACCAGTCTCTGGAGGAAGAGTTTGAGAGAGCTAAGGCAGCAGTGGAGGTAAGCCAAAAGTCTCCTATAAAAATATATGTAAGCATCAAAAACTTAATGGGCATTAATAGGCAGTGTGTTTACACAGAGTACAAAAAGCCAACTTTGTTGACAGGCTTTTTCTTCTGACTAACTCCACCCATCATTACTCAGACATTTTTACTTTAGAATAAATAGCATATTAGTTTAATTTACACTTAAATAGCAGCTGCCACTATTTGTTGATATTTATACTTGATTCAAACAGTATCTACCACTATTTTCATTTGATGCAAATAGCATTTGCCTTTTCTTATCAACTTATTGACAGACCTAAATGGAATCTACAGATATTTTACACTTTTTCTGCTTCAGTTTGGGAAAAATCTGTGGAATTCTGAGAAATGTATTTAAATATATATATATATATACATTTTGTGTATATATATTACAAAATATACATGTTGTAATCATTTACTCACCTTCACTTGTATGACTTTCTTTCTTCTGTGCATCATAAATCCGTACAAAGAAAGTCAATGGTTACCAAAACGGTTTGGTTACCAACATTATTCAAAATATCTTCTATGTTCCACAGAAGAAAGAATCTCATATAGTTTTTTGGAGGGTGAGTAAATGATGACAGAATTTTCATTTTGGATGAACTAGCCCCATAAACTGAGATGGAAAAAATATTTTATCATTTTGCTTTTACTTGAAGAAACTTATTTAGGTGTGCCCTTTGTTAAAGTTCATATTTTAATAAGGCCTCACTTTTGTGGCATTGGACGAATAGGATGGAAACCGCTTGCTGTCACGAGTACAATGTGATGCTAATTAGCCTCCCTCAATAATTGATTGATTATAATGTCATCACCGTTGCTCATGGAATAATTTGAACCATATAATAACTTTCCATTGCTTAATGAGAGAAGAAAATAGGCCAGTCGTGCAGCATCAGGTGGCAGAGGAGAAGGTATTGTACGTACAGAAACTAGATATGGGCTAATTCCGCTGGAGACCCTGCTATCTAACATCAGTTCCTGTGCTTCAGTGATCACAACCGCTGATGCATTGGAAGAAATTACTCTAAGGCCTGTCACTCAGGGGGAAAAAAACATCTAGACATAATATCTCTCATTCAACCAAATACCTAACACCTACATTTATATAATATTTTTTTTGCATTTTGCTTGGATAAGAGTCTTTGAAAATGCATTTATTTTATTTATTATTATTATTAATTTTCAGTCTTAAATGCACAACATAGTAACCAACACCTACAAATAAAAATGTCATGTTTCATTACAATGTACTTTCGTTACTTAGTACTGTTTTAAGAGTTCTCACTGCTTAATAGTTTATGTTGTTCTGATGAGTGTCTGCTGTTGCACTTGTAAGAAGCTAGCTATTGTATTACATGTGTTACAGAGGTAGAGTGCTAAGGGCAAAAACATGGGGGATCTGTAAGAACAGATGAATAATGGAGGAGAAAGAGGAAGGGTACATCTAAAAGTGAGAGCAGTACTTACAGTACGAAGAACCACTCAATGCAGAATTTGTACTGTGCACAGAATCACTGGTTATACTGCCTATTTGTAGCTCGCAAAACAGCGCCCATTACAACTATAAGACTGAGCCAGTATTCGATTTGAAAGAGGGTTGAGAGGGGCGGGACTTTGTGTACAGTAAGTAGTGATTCTTAAGGCTGCAATGGGAACAAATGGAGGGTTGATCGATTGCACCATCCTTGAGTTTCAATCATTACGGGAACATTGGCCTGCACACTGAGAGCTGCCCTTCTGCCTCCAGCCCCCCTATAAGTAACTGCATATATTTAATATGATTATAAGCTGCACAGTCTTGAATTATCCAGAAAGCTACTTTCTGGGACAGTGAGGCCAGTTTCCAATCATTTTCATTTGTTGATGTCCTGAATGAAGAAATACCTTGGAGCCTAAAATGAATTGAAATGGGGAATAGTCGGGCTGGGCTGCTTACTGAGCAGTGAATAAAGATGCAAGATAGATGGAAAATACATTTTACGCCCCGCAGTCTTAGGGGAGGATGTTGGGATGCAGGAAACAGAATACATCTGAAATTATGCTGCTCTATTTAGAAACAGGCAGACAGCGAGAGGTGAACGCAGGCTTTAAGGTGACTCTGTGCTGGTCAGGGCCAAATATAACACAAAGGTGTGTTAAATGTAGGGATTTATGCTGTAAATAACAGCATCTTTCATGATGAGACGCTGTATAATACCAGGAACCTTTTGGGCATTTAAGACTTTTCACTTCAAACCAATAATAGCATTTGTTTTACAATATAAGAACAGTATGATTAACCATAGGCTTTAGATTTACAGGAGCACATGTATGGTTATTCAAAATCCATCTTCTGTTCCTTTCCATCTCCTAACATGTAGGAGATGTTTCAGATGATGCAAAATGACAGGGATCGGTTTTAACAGCAGGACTTGACAGCTTGTCAATTCTTTTTTAAATATGCTCAACAAACCAAACTCCCGGACAGAAAGTTCATGCTTTTGGGAAAATTTTTTTTACAGTTACTGAAGGAGCAGTACAGTAATGCAGTTACTTGATAATTTCTGTCTTTAAGCATTATTTAGTTAAGTAAATATGATGCATATTAATTCGTAAATATGAATTGCATTGATTTACATGTGATTATTTGACTCATATATTCTAAACTGTCAGAAGTTTTTGTTCAAAAATTGAATAGAAGCCTCACTGGAATTTGTAGACTTGTATGTATGACTGTCATGCTCAAGCTTATTAATTGTTTGTCACGTATGTCTTAGGGGTTTTTATTATTCTAATTATGAGCTGACCCTTGGTCTCTTTTAGTTAGTAATTATGAGATGAATATATTCACTTGCTCCTCTATTAAAGAGTTAGTCTTTGAGAGAGTTCAAATAATTATTTGCAACCCAACTTTCTTCTTTTTTCCAACAGTGGTCCATATCTCTTATATACTGTTCTGTATGAATGTGTAAAGTTATTATTTTCCAATCTAACAAATGTATTTGATAAGCATTCACTCTTTACCTGTTAGATGTATGCCTAAAATGAGAAAAAGGAATCTGTGCCAATGTTTTTAAAATAATAAACCTAATTCAAAATATATTATGTTCCAAAAAAAAAATTTGTATCTTATGCAGTTTTGCTTCTAAATGTATTTTTCCCGGATAAAGCATTTCCCAACAGAGTTTAGCTAGTAGGCTTTTGTGTACCATCCAAATAGAAATGAAGGTCTTAGACTTGTGAACCAAAGGGCATTCTATTTCAGAAACAAAGACCAATTAGAAAAGACTTTCTCACCCCAGTGGAACAGCATGGCCTTGATCATGTGTCTCTTTTTGAAAATGAGGAAGACCGAGCACTGACCCCCTTTGGAGCCCTCAGTGTACCCGTTAAGGCCTCTGACATGGCCTACTGAGCTCCTGACAACATTCATCCTTTATTACGCTTATAAAGCTGTATCTCACAATCTCTCAAGGGACGAACAATGCAGTTGAGGTAAAAGGAAACGCTAAAGGAAAGATGCCAGTCTTGAATGACACATAATGTCAGGGGTGTTCAGGAGTGCTTTTTCTGAGCCCCTTAGACAGTAACAGCTTCAGGGATTGTCATAACACGACACTTGTTATTTTTCATGGATCTTTTTCAGTGTTTGTGAATTGTGACATATATTTCAACGAAGCAGGTATTTTTAGAAAAAGACCAGGTGCTTTGCACAAAATAGGTGACCAAAGTTGCTAAAGGAATCGTTCACTCCAAAACTCCATTTTTTTTCTCTGTGGAACGCAAAAAGAGAATTCACTCTTTTCCATGCAGTTACATTGAATTGTGACTGGAGCTTTCAAAATGCTTTCAAGATTGGTGAAGAACTGGGGCCAGTTGCATAAACACAGCTACTATATTAAAGGGGTCATGAACTGCCTTTTTTATTATATTGTACTGTTCTCTGAGGTCCATTTATAATGTTATCAAGATTTTTACATCAAAAACATCATAATTTATAAGTAAAAGGCTATTTTCATTACTGTTTTGACTCCCCTCACCAGAACACTCTGTTTGAATAGCCGTGGCGGATTGTAGACTTGGAAGTAAATACCCACTGCTATGATTGGCTAACAGTTGTGTATGTTTGACAGCCTACATCCTTCATAGATGGACTCTGCTGTGATTTGGGTTAAAAACGCATAAATACTCAGTACATATCAAACGATCACTAACAGACAAATCACATAATGAAAACAGTTACTCACACTTGTGTGGTGTGACATCGGATCCAATAATCCTGCATTGAATTGTGCCTAAAATGAAGTGGACAAAGGACCAAGTTCTTACTTACGCGATCTAGCACTTCATTAAAAATAAAGTTCATCAAATAAAGTTTATTGTTTGGTTTCTGCGTAGACCTGCATTTGCTGCTCTTGTTATTTACCTACTTGCGTGAATCGGTGGGTGGGGCTAAATAGGCAGTGATGTAGAATTGGTGGGCGGGGCTAAACAGGCAGTGATGTAGAATCGGTGGGCGGGGCTAAACAGGCAGTGATGTAGAAGCAGGCATTGATCCTCTTCTGCTGAGGCGGTGTTTAACCACACTATTACGTCATAAAATGGCACATTCCACAACCTGTCATTTTGGCAGATTGGCTTCAGTATAAGCTGTTTTTAGACTAATCAGAAAGTTTTGAGTTCTGAAACTTACAGAATGTTTTTATAGCACATTGACCTCTTATATGTCAAAAGATCAAGGGAATTTTGATTTCTCAGTTCATCACCCCTTTAAGATTGTGTCTTAAGAACCAGTTTGACTTTAAAGAGCAGTTAGCCAAGAGTTAATCCGTTTTATTTTTTCTTGACCATGAAGAAAAAAAATTTGATTAATAACTTTTTAAGACAAGTCTGATTAGTTTATGCAACCGGCCCCTGGTCTTGTGAACCAGATAAGAACCATTTAATTGAAAAAATCTGATTCAAAAGAACAGTTCATGAATCAGACCTCACTATTACTTATATGAATAACTATTAATGATTTTCGATGAAAAACAACTTCAATTTTGAGAATGTTCCTTAGACAAAGTTATCAAGCTCAGAAGACTTGGAAAATATTGTGCTCAATATAGTATTTCTTAATATTTTAAATAATATTTATATTTAAATAATATAAATATTTACTCGCTGTAGTATTGTTGCCATGTCGTGGAGACGCTGTGTGTTTCCAAATATGTTAAGGGGCGTAACATTTCCGTCACACGCTTGAGGTATTCAACCAATCACAATGCACTGGATAGCTGGCCAATCAGAGCACTCCTTGATTTTCAGAACGAAGAGCTTTGTACAAATCAACACGTTTCTGTGTCTTGTGTGTTTTTTTAACCTTAAACCGCGTAAACACATTGCTTTACACCAAATACACAAAATAATGTTTTTTAGCATCGTCATATGACCCCTTTAAATGTATTTATTTTAGTTTCAGTTTTCTAAGTTCTTCATGTAATATTTACAATTTATTTCAGCTTTTTGCTTTTATGGTGCTTTGTTGTCATTTTGGAGTTTGACAGCCCCAGTCCTCATTTATTTTCAATATATTGAAAAAAAAATGGCCTGGATATTCTTCAAAAATTCAACTTTTGTGCTCAGAGTAAGTTGAAATTACTTGAGGGTGAGCGAATTTCTTTTTTTAACAAATGTTATACTGCTAAAGTTAACGAAAAGAGGGATCTGTAATTTAGAAACACAGAACAACTGCAAAAAAACAATCTGGTTTCAAGAAAATATCTTTGAGGTGTTCAGTGAAGATGTGTGCTGTGAAGTATGTCCTTAACGCAAATGTTCTGGCTATTAAAAAGTTCAGTCAAGCAGTCTTTCTCTGGATGAGAGATAATGAGTCTTCAACTTTGACCTTTGACTAGTTGGACTCTCTCTGTGCTGAGCTGTTGGGGGAAAAGAGGGGGTGGGTCATCCAATTACCGTAATTGGCCACTTAGTGAAGCTGTTGCCCGTCATAAAACACGGAGGGCCATTTATCTCCTCAACAAAAGATGTGTCATTGAACAAAATAACATCTCATCATCTTTCAGTCGCACAACATTCTTTGAAAACCCTCATCATAAATACAATCTCTGAGGGAATCGTGCCACAAAGGCTTTTGAAAAGCAGATAGCTCTCTTACAGCAGTGCTTTTCAAGTGAATATGAGTCGTAATGAAGGGATACTGGGACTTGTGACCTGTATCGATTGGTAGGTGACTTCAACAAATGCTCCTGCCATTTCTGATTTCATAACACATGACAGTGATGTGTGAGGTTTTGAGTAACAGGCTTTCAAGTAAAGACAAATTAGTGTTTTTTAACATTTCAAAATCATTTTCAAGCATTTTGTCCTTCTGCATCAAATCAAAGTGTTTCGGTGCATTCAGTTCGCTTACTAATGCTATGAGCAAGTAATTTTTTTTGATTAATCAAACCCTTAAATGAGATTTCCAAATGTCCTAGATGGCTGAGAGCTGAATGATTGCTTGCGTGGCTGTGTAAGTCTCCTCTTTCCATCAATATTCATGCACAGTGATTCATTATTCAGATTGCAGAGCACAGAGAGTTCAGAGGCATGTTGATACAGATTTGAGGCATTCATAAGAGTGGCACACCTGCAGAGACTCGACTAAAGACTAAGATTTAACCAGAGCTTGATGTTGCGGTGGCAGAAAACACATTTTCGCCATGAAGTGCTCTTCTGGACACTGTGGAAAAAAAAGAACAAAAACAACAAAACTGAAACTATAGCAAACTAAAACTGTAACAGTTTGGTGGCTGGTTGCATATAAGCTTTCTAGTTGACTAAATAAAAGTTCTGTAAATGAATGAATTTGGAGTACAAATGGGTATTTTAGTATCTTTAAAGTGTTTGGAGTTGGAACACCAGTATAATTGTTTACATCTGTTCATTTAACAGACATTTTTATCTATATCTATACAATTAGCCATAGTTTTGTGTTGTTCCTGCTCATTAGATTGATTATATCCACTGTTACTCAGCTAATATTGATTTTTGTAATAAATTTAAAAGGTTTACTCAGTTATTTAAGGGGTCAACTCTACTGAGATGAATATTATACGATTAGTTAAATAAAAAAACAACACAATTATTTATAAAACCTTATGTATAAAAAACATGTCAAACATTTTTATATTTTAGAACTGTTTTCATACATAACATAGTGCCAACATTTATTTCTTATTTTTATAAGCTATTTTTTTACAGCATAGCTATTTTTTTCGATAAGATGCAGGCAGAGTGGGAAGAGCTCGCTCGCAGGAACTGGCTAACAGAGAATGATCAACCACAGATTCCCTCTAATGTGTCTCCTTATGAAAAGGTAAAGGAGAAACAACTCAAGCAAATAATTTAAACAAATATTAATTTAGAATTGTGATAATAATGATAACAACAACAATATTAATAATAATAAATTATTAGTAGTAGTAGTAGTATTATTATTAATTATTTTTATAATTACTAGTTCTTTATTATCATTATTATTATTCAATATGTAACACCTTCACAATTAATTAATTAATTTGTTTATTTATTCATTTTATTTTATTATTTTTTGTATGTTTTTATTTAACTAGTGAGCAAAATCTTCATACATTTTGCACTACTTAATTATTTCCATTATTTGTTCCTCAGGGGTACTACTTCCACACAGATAACCCTTTCAAAGACTGGCCAAATGCATTTGAGGAGGGATTACGCAAGTCCAGAGAGGGAGACCTGCCTAACGCTGTACTTCTTCTGGAAGCAGCTGTGCTGCACGACCCTCAGGATTCGGAGGTGAGCGAGTGGGCTTATAAAACAACAACAGTCAGCCAGGTACTTTCATCAAATCAACGTCTGCACAGCTTGAAAACATGCTCTGCCAATCAGACTACCGTCATACCTTTCCTACGTACAGTGATAAGTAGTGGGTACGTTCTTGCCCACAATGAACATTTTACAGATCATGGCATGATTAGCCAAGGCAGGGGGTTCCATATTCTCACTAATTTTCAGTGAGAGCTCTGTATTAGACATTGTACTTGACAGTGACTGATGGCAAACCATTAACACTCCTGTAACTGAGTAGGGTTCCCTTTTTTTTCAGACGATTTAATGATGTAATAGTTCAGTTACATCCCAGAGAGGATTATCCCTCTTCTCCTGGAATTACCCCACCTCTAAATGATTGTGTCTCCAAAAAAAGCTGAATGTTAACAGATAATATTACAAAGCAAGTGGCATTTCGGGGAGATTTTGCTTCTGTCATAAGTACGCTATATTCACTGTACATAAGTTAAGAGCGCAGACTCAGCCAGCCATGTTAAAATATTCTATTAATAAGGCTCATTAATACACTTTCCATTGTATTCACAAACTGTGGCCTTGTCACGAGGGTTTTGAAATGCAGTTTCCTCCTACACAAAGTTAACAAGCTTATCTTCTAATAATTAGTCTTACTCGGTGTTCATAACCCTACAAATGATTCATTGTGAAATCGTAGCATAAATATTCAGTCACATAATTAATGATACTTAAATCAACATCCTAAACTTTAAATATTTGTCTAGCGATATAGTACATCCAATGATTCATCATCTTCAAGAAATGGCAACACAAATCCATTCAGTTCCTCTCTAACATTGTGTTCTATGTCTGAGCCACAGGCCTTTGAAAATGAATAATTTCCCCCAGGTTAACACTGTAGCTCGCGCACAATAGAAGCTCATCGCCAGAGTCAAGGTGATAACCCCAATGCTCATTGTTTAATACCTATTTTCTTTTCAGGCTTGGCTGGTGATGGGAACCACGCAAGCAGAGAATGAGAATGAGCAGGCAGCAATTGTCTCCCTCCAGAGGTAAGGAAGTATCCCTGCGTGAATCATATGCAAATGATGGTTTACACAGAACCGATTGGCTCATGAAGTTTGAGTCATCACACTTAAGATGTGACTGAGTGTTTATAGCAAAAATAAAGCCAAAGCAGAGTTAGACAGGATAGCTTTGTACTAGTACTGAATGTATCGTTGATGATTGTACCATCAATGTCAAGTCAAGATTAAGGTTAAAGGAATATTTCACCCAAAAATTTTAATTTAATGAAAATGTACTCACCCTCAGGCCATCCGAGATGTAGATGAGTTTGTTTCTTGATCAGAACTGATTTGGAGAAATTTAACATTATATCACTTGCTCACCAATGGATCCTCTGCAGTGAATGGGTGCCGTCAGAATCAGAGTCCAAACATCTGATTAAACCATCACAATAATCCACAAGTACAGGTGCATCTTTCACAATTTGAGTTGAATTACTGAAATAAATGAACTTTTCCATGACATTCTAATTTATTGAGATGCACCTGTAATCCGCACAACTCTATCAATTAATGTCTTGTGAAGTGAAATTTGCAATAAACTACACATTAAGGTGTATTGACTTTAAATTGTCACTTCTAATTGTAACATCAAAATGTTCTCCGCATATTACAAGAGCTTGTCACCCAGCGATAAGCACTGTTATTCAACGAAATTGACATTGGCGAGTGCGTTAGTCTTACAGATCCGAAACAGGAATGACGTTTGTTGTGGGCGGAGCCTATCTGGAGGCAGAAAATTACGGTTTTCAAGTGGCAGTCTATGGAGCCATGGAATAAAAGAATAAAAAAAGGTCAATTTGATTTTATATTTCACAATTCTGACTTTATTCTTGCAATTCCGAGATTATATCTCACAATTCTAATAAGGAAAAACAACTCGTCATTCTCTCTTTTCCCCTCGGCTCTTCTGGCTTTATTCCCTCAGATTTGACAAACTCACCATTTATGAGTTGAGTCGAGTTATAAAGTCCGAATTAGGAGATATAAACTTGCATTTACAGCACCATCCAGAGGAGGATGAATAACGTTAGGATCCTGTATTAATGTGTGTGTTACATTTTACTACTGTATATATACACTGATATTACTATTATTTGTATTATTGATAGCAGCATCTCTGTAGCCATGCTAATAAAATACAACTACCACCACAACTGATTTTAATTGTTTTCTATGCTCCAGACCTATATAATAACAGATGGCTGCAATAATGCTCTCTTCTATTGTCTGATTCAACTGGACGTGTCAAGAAACTCTTTGCTGATTGGCTTGCGCGAGAACGCGTCATGCGAATTTTCCGCTCGAGTTGAAATTTTTGAACTTGCGCGGAAGACGCGATTGAGGCGAATATTGTGCGTTCGCGGCAAACGCGTCACGCATTTCGCGTCGCCTGGCGCGAATTCGCCTCTATTCGCGTCTTTGCATTGACTTTGTATGTAATCTACTCGTGCGAATAATTCAATTCGCGTTTGGTGTGAACACACTGTCACACCGTGTCTACACCGGACGCGAGCGGCGCAACAAAATACTATAGACCAATTACCGGTTTGTAAACATTCAGGATGCGCGCGCATCATGGTTCCAGAAAACCCGGGAGAGATAGCCTTTACAGCTAGAGAATTTCACAGATAGGGTACAAAATAGTTAGGTTTATAAATTATATAAATTATATTGATTAGATGTCATTTTCAAAATGTTCTCCGCATATTACAAGAGCTTGTCTAAGCACTGTAAGCACTGTTATTCAACGAAATTGACGTTAGAGAGTAGGATAGTCTTACAGATCCGAAACAGGGATGATGTTTTTTGTAGGCGGAGCCTATCTGTAGGCAGAAAATGATGAATGTTTTCAAGCGGCAGTCTATGGAGCCATGGAATAAAAGAATAAAAAAAAGGTAAATTTGATTTTATATTTCAAAATTATGACTTTATTCTCGCAATTCCGAGATTATATCTCACAATTCTAATAAGGAAAAACAACTCGTCATTCTCTCATTTCCCCTCGGCTCTTCTGGCTTTTTTCCCTCAGATTTGACAAACTCACTATTTTTGAGTTAAGTCGAGTTATAAA